CCGGGAACTGTAAGATTCATTCCAGAAGGAAACTCGACCAATTTGTCGGACTTTGCTGAAACATGACAGAAGCTGATCAGTAGGTCGACAACTGTGGGCTGGGAGATTATCTCATGTTCGATACTGGGTCCGAACCCAAGAGACATGTATTGGTAAAGACATAGTGGACTTGAGCACACATAGGGCTTGAGAGCTTCGAAATCGTTTTGAACTTTCGTGTGACACACAAGGCAGAATTCAGTACATCGGACCAAGTGACGAAGAGTTAGTTGCATTGCAAGTAAGGGGAACGATGCATCCTTAGGTGACGAAGTTGCAAGGGAATCATCGGTTACGATCCTCGCGAGAGCCCTCTTCGGTTCTTGATGATCATAGTATCTACTGTCAATTTGGCCCAAACTATTGGATTCGCGACCTTGACTATCTGTGGTCACGGAAGGCGTTAGTAATTATACTTGGTAGAATCATTGATCTTTCTCACCGATATAGTATCTTTCTGCCCCGTCCCATCCAAACCCATGTTGAATTCGATATTTCACCAACTGTATCAGTCTCGAATTTAACAATTCATTAAGAGGTCTACTAATGAATACCCCACGAAAGGCGCCGTCATCTGACATGTCTTCAATTATTCCATCCAGACCGTCGCCTTCCTTGCTAGTACCATTAGACAGAGGGTGAGCGTTATCGAAAGCGCTGATTTTGCTGAAGGCCCCAATTGCCTCAATTAGTGTTGGCTTGTATTTGGTAGCAGTGCCAACGCATAACTCCACGCTCTTCTTAGCATGATAACCCCCAAAGTCCCCAGTAAGCCTTTCTAAAGTTTGATAGTATGATGAGTAGTGGATAAGCATAATGAGATATTTCTGCTTATCCAACTTCCAAGCATCAATCGCTTCATCCGAAATGCCTAATTTTGACACCCTGATACCAAGAGAAACATAAAGATCCACTCCGCCCTGATAATCCCCAAGCACGCCGATCTTGAATCCGGCAATTTTTGCTAGCCGAAGATCATGCCTTAGCGCCTTTCTTAACTTCCGTACCTCTACTGGATTCAGAGTATCTTGTGAAAACTCATCTTTCTCGGCCGAGCTATGCTGACGAATTCTCGCAACTGGGTCCTGGTAATCTTCTTCCCAGCCTCCGACAGATATATCATCGTCTTCATCGTCGTCGTCCTCTCCGTTTTGAAAATCCTCATCGCTATTTTCGAATTCGTTGTCCTCCATAAGAACGTCAGAATCTGCGGGCCCTATTCCCATCGCTTTATTGAGAGAGTATGAGACTGCAGCTAGAAGTGCTGATAGTGGCTGCGAGGTTTCTGGAGAGAATTTTGCAAGAGCACCAGTGATAGCGCCTGGAGCATCAGCAGAGCTTGTGTACAGATATGTCTGGTGCGAATCCGGATAATCGCTTAGTTCTACGGAGAATATGCTTAGCTTTAAGGACTTTGGGGATCATTCTTATATGGCAGTCCTAAGATCGAGAGAACAAAGTAGGAAGGAGTTTGCCCAGTATCATGCATTAACAGTTGTAATAATGGAGGTACAAAGCATCATTGATAAAGCTTCCCAGAGTTTGCCGCACACATCCCTCAATGACTATAACGAACGGCATCTGCGCAAAGAGTGGAAACAGTAATATTGGGTAGACGAACCTGGAATCATGGCAGTAATTCCAATCCCTCTGTTCCCCGAACCAGTGCCATGTGGTGTAAAGGTGAAGTTGAAGCATCCATCATCGTCCCCTCGGTGGACATCTACGATTCTCATTAATTAGTAGTGGTTCAAAACGAAACACGCTGTTTCGATCCAATTGAAGACGGAATCCCCCAATCAATTCTTTTCCCTAGCTAATCTGTGTTCGCTGTATCTACCGTCTAAATCAAACAAGATAGTTTCTTTTAATGGAGCTGCCAGAGCTCCAGATATCAAGTAAAGAGCTGCTGTCATCACTAAACATAACAGGGAAGCCGAAATCCATACCAGAAATACAACTGTCGACACCACCCGGCCTCTGTACTCGCTCCAGATCGGCGAAAAACGATTTCCTAGGCATCCTTCCCCTTGCTTTAACAGGCAATTAATCGGCAACGGTTTAAAGAAACGGTATGGAAATGGAGGACAGTCGGTGAAGAAATTCCAGAGGGGCGAGGAAAGAAAAATGGAAAGAAGTTAAATTGGGGAAGAATAACTGATGAGTGATGCGTGCAGGCGTCGCTGGGAGCTCCTTGCCAGGCAACCATCATCATGCTGCCCCGCGTGTGCGTACAACATGCCAAGCATCTATTGTAGAGTACATGTACCTGTCTCTCCTCAGCCGCAGTGGTGCGTAAAGGTGAGTGACAGCCCATAGAATACGTCAGGATCTAGAGTCTATGTGAACATCTACATTACTACTAGGTATTGTACCTACTTACATACCTTGTCAACAGGTGATATGTTGATTTGAACGAAGCTCATAAAGCTCCCAATAACTTTTTATTCAGATACATCCAACTACAGTATGTATCCTACCGAAGTGGACGAGCTCGCACAGTAAAGCAGATTCATGGTAGTCACATTTGGCAACTCATTGCTACTACATCTCAATGATTCACAGTAGGAAATAGTCGTCGCCTAGCATTGTTACACAAAGTGGTAGGATTGACGCTTTAGGTTAGTCTACTCTAACTTTGGATATTCCCACTTCACCTCAACTTCAAGCTCAAGCACCAGCCATCACTCACACAAGGAGCTCTCACTTAAAGCTCTTTCCGACAAGCTAATTGGAACGAGATGGCTTCACAAGCTCCGATCGCTTCCTCGGGGGCCCCCACTACAGCCTCGTCGTCATCATCTCTCCTAGCAGACCCCGCTTTAGCACCTTTCCTCTCGCCAAACTTTTCGGCCAAGGCGTACCTCAACTCGACCCTCCCACCTCTCCTCCCACCTTCTGTTCTTTCTTCAGCATCGGTATCCAAATCTAGAAATCCCGAATCTTTGTCTAGCCTATCAGCCAAAACCACAACTCTTCTTTCTACTCTGGACCTTCAAACACAGCGTCTCTTGACCACACTACAAACCCTTACCGATGAGATCTTACGTCTGACACCTCGCCTTGGCTATGAGGTTGAACTTCTTCGTAGCGATGTTCTCTCATTGTCAACGACGTTAAGTACAGATCTGCGACAAGACATCGAGCACTTCCAACCCCCAGTAGCCGAGAACTCCGAAGAGCCCACCGAGACTACAGGGACCACCACTACAGATGCACCCCCTAGAAGTAACAAGCCAGATGTTCTCTCGAAACTTGAAATGCTGGCGACGGTTCGAGCGCGCCTCGAAGATGTGATCCGCATATTTGGCGACGCAATGGCTTGGCCTCTGAACGATTCTCCGGAAGAGCCCAAGCTAGAATCCAACAATCTGAACCCTCCTCTCGAAAATTCCTACGGCGTTCCTGTACCTCCCCGAACCCCCTCCCCGATCCGTGCGCTTGAATCAAGTAATAAAACCCAAAGGAAGAAATCAAGCGCAAGCCCTATAGAAGAGATTCTGTATCTTTTATCATGCGACGACCTTCCGGCTGCTTCCACAAAAATAAAGGAGTTAAAGGAGCTTGCTAAGATCTTCGAAGGGACTGTTGAGGGGCCTGCTAGGATTGCAGTTGTTGAGGCGCTAGAATCGAAGGTTGCAGAGGAGGAGGAGAAGAAGATGGCTTCAAAACGACAGCAAGAGAGAAGACAAGAAGCAGTGCTGGGCAAAGAAGAAGAGAGAAGGAAGGCTGACGAAGAGGCTGAAAAAGCAGATTCCCATGGTTGGTCGGGTGGCAGAGATGGTTATTACGGGCTAATCAATCAGTTGTCAAGGATGAGGGGAGGCATGACATAGAGAAATACCATGGATCTACAATATCAATATTAGCCTTCAATCAGGACCATTTAGATAATTGACAGGAATCCATCCTTGTGGTAGTGCTAGCTCGGATTTTCAGGAAAAAGACATTTGATAAAGTTACGAGAAATTGGTGAATATCCTAGTACAGCCACATTCAAATACATAATTCTGGATTCTTGCATTATTACCACTAGCGGCTTGCCACAGGGCGGCAGAAACTAATGATCTAAATGGTCCAAGACATCATCCAAGGTGCCTCAGTCTTGCGAGGGTATACATTGTGCTTCTTCAGCGGATACTCGCATTGCCTTGTAATAAATGAAGTTAGAAGATAAAATACAAGCACAAGAGCGATTTTGTAGAATCACGTCGTTGGTGTTATGTAGTTTGATCCCTTGTCAATAGTAAAAGACGAAGTGTCCTAGCTTTCCTATTTGTGTGTACTCTGCTCCGTACAAAGGTTTTTACTTTCTGTGAGTAGTCCGTATGATGGGGTGTGGCTGCTGGGGACGGATCTTCTAGAACCTGCGATCACAGCAACCACCTTAGGTTAATCCACTACCGGTCTCCTTGATTCAAACTCTTCGCCGTCCCAATATAACTGATTTATACTTCTGTTGGTAGTCTAGCTTATATAGATGTAAAAGTAATTGTAGAGAGTGGCTTGAAATTTACCAGATTCCACTGGGGCTAAAACGAAACCAATTAGTAATGGTCCGAATCATGATATATCACTCGTTTAGTAATGTATTCTCTAAATCGACCTCGATTGATTGATTGATTACTCCATTAATTGTATCTCTAAATCGACCTCTTTGTAGGGCCTTTCTTTCGATGTTGGGCACACGGAGTTGAATCAGGCCTTGTGATCTGTCTGTGTAATGTTACACTGCATCTATGTACCTACATGTATGTGCGACGCTGACGTTGAGGCTGTGGTGGAGTGAGTAATTTGTAGGTAAAGCGAGAGGTGTAGCTTGGCTATGTTTCCTGTATCACAACGCATCCAATCACATGAAATCGACAAAATAAAAACTCAGGTTCACAAGCATCATATCATTAACCGTCAATAAACTATACAGGTCCATTATACATCGTCCTACATATATGTTCAACACCTTAAACAGTACTGAACTTGTACGTTGCCTCCAACACATACGGTCCGTCCTCTGGGCCCCAAATTTGTCCTCCACGCATCCACTCCGGATGGTTAATTCCGTCAATCCAGTCCTCAACCTCTAGCACTATACATCCATACTGCTGTGTAAGGCGACGACCCGGGAGACCCTGGGTCGACTTCAATGGTTTGTCTCCTAAATAACCGTCAGCTACGAAAGGTGGGCGAAAGAGAGCGAATGGGGTATAAACCTTTCATGCCGTTGCAGGAGTACATTTGGAATGCCTCCTGGGCGGTGAATATGTCGATTTTGATACCAGACCAGTCTGACCAGATGGACGCAACGGGCTAGGAGGTTTGTCAGATTGGATTGTACAAGCGTGTACGGTAAGAAGTTACCTCATTGTCTATATCATGCTTCCCGACGAGCCAAGCATTATCCCACCCTGTGCAGCCCTCTCCGCAGTTCCCAACTGCATCTGGTGAGTCTAAGTCACGACCAATCTTCTTGGGCTCGCTCCAAAAGTCGTTCACAGAGCCCTTGGCATTGGGTAGGATTTCGCCGGTGGGAATGAGAATAGAGTCGACTCCGATTCTGAGCCCGGAGTAGGGGAGGTGCCTATCATGGGTTATTGGTACAGTTGTATTTTTTTTTTTTTTTTTTTTTTTGGGGGGGGGGTCTTTTGGGGAATTACAGTGTGTGATCAGTAGCCAATTCCGTTTCAGGGTTCTGAAACCCGTCAAGATTCCAGTAAACGTGCGAGCTCAGCATTATAGGTGTCTTTTTGGTTAGAGCAGTGGCCGTCATGCTGATATGCCAGGTGTACGATGAGAGTGTGTAAGTGATGTATGAGATGACATCGCCGGGAAAGCCCATTTCGCCATCGGGGTCAAAGATTGAGAATGTTATTGAGGTCTTTGTGACTGAGACAACGGTGAAATTGCGGTAGTCCCATCCATTGCTTCCACCATGGAGTTGGTTTACTGATTGGCAGGTATTAGCATAATTGTTCTCAAAGATAGTAACATCGAAGCTGCACTCACACCCATCGTGTTCATTAGCGTCGACTTTGAACGTCTCTCCATCGATCTCAAATGATGCGTTCTTGATCCTGTTGGCATATCTTCCCGGAACACTACCGTAATGGTCATGCCATGGATCCTCTACTTTTTATTAGTTTCTAAACCCCTTGAAATCCTGATTATGAGAAAGAGCGTCCAGACTTACGTGTATAATACGAAGCATTATCCCAACCGAGCACAATGTCCCTCTCGGTACCATTCTTGTCCTTGATAAACAAGTTGCTTATACCAGCACCATATGGAACGAATTGGGCCCTGATACCCTCTGCCTCAAGCGTATACTTGCCATCAGCACCAGGGCTCGGGACGCCTGTTTCATTGTGCGCGTGATGTTTCGATTCTGATCTGGGGTTTGGGAATCCTAAGGCCGTGGAGGTGAGACAGCATATGCCTACAAGAGTAGTGATGAGTGAGTTGACCATCTTGAAATAACTGCACCTTACGAGTGATACGAGTATGTGTACGGTGGAGAAGGTTAAGAAAAGGCCAATGGCTGGGAGGGTGAACCTCCTTATTAATAAGGTCACAGCATTTCATAGAAGTAAGGGATACCTAGCTATACACAACGTATCTATAGTACCTCTATATGCCTGTTATTATTATATCCAACCGGATAAAGTTCTCCCCCCGCGAATTAGACCGGAGAGTGACTTTCCTGGGGGAGAAATATGTACATATACCGTTTTGTAGGCCCAAAATCGTGGAACGCCGGACTTGGGCCGCTTGACGTCAAGGGAAACTGTGGGGTAGCCTATGAATGCACGTTTACCCCGGGAAAATAAATGCTTGTCTGCGCCATCCCGGGGTTGAGTTTAGGCGAGAAGGATGAGATGGGGGGGAGAGGGGAAGGATGAGCATCTTTTGTGTGCTTGGCATGGGTACATACTGCTTAATTTGCCAGTTCGTAGAATTGAGCCCCGAGTAATTAAAATAGCAGATGCATTGAGTTTACGTATTATAGAATCGTATCATAACTAGTACAACACAGCTACAGTATCGTTAAAAAGAAAGAGTTTTATTCGTATACGACGTAGTTGAGTGATATAAAGTACAGCTTGCGGTAAGATTATTGTGGAGTCCTATTGGCTTGCCCAGCCATAGAAACCCTGTTTTTAGACCCCTGTTTCTACAATAATTCTACCTCTCGCTGTATAACATTACATGGTTTACATGTAGTTATGTATCGAGTGACCAACTTACGAATTCCCGGTGGCGCAGAATTCTGAGCTCGGCAAAGTAAAAATAAGGAAGATTCTCTGGGGTAGCCTGATCAAGGTACTGATCCATACCATGCATGGCTCGCCTCGGGTAGACGCCGAAATGTGCACCGAGCTCCGCAGAGCTGGGAGTTTCTAGCTGATATTAGATGCGCTTCGGTTGGAGATTTTCAGGTTTCATGCAAAATCTGAGATACACGTAGATATATGAGTACAGTACAATCTCCTTATAAGGGTTCGGGTTATAAGGGTAGGTGTTTGGGGTCCCCATTGGGCTTCGTAGGTACAAATTTACTCCTCCTATCCCATAATCCGGTACTTAGATGCTGTCTATTTTGAGACCAAAAGAGGAAGGGTGGCAGCCGAATATGTGTGATCTAGATACAAGCCATGGCTGAAAATACACCACCCGAATCAATAGGCAGCTTTAACGGACTATGGGATAAGGGTAACAGATCTATAAGGGTACCAAATTTCGGTCCCGACGTACCCTTATAAAGAGATTGTACTGTATGTGATTGACTGCATACTTGTACTATGTATACTACATGTACACCTACATGTAGGAAGGACAGTGCTGAAGAGGTCGCATACATGTAAGTTAAACAACTGTACTCTACGGCTCTATAGCTAGAGAAACGTCGCCATTGGATGATATCTGGCCCACCACGATCAATCTGCGGGTGATTAGGGCTTTCTTTTAACTGTGTTTGATCACGGCGTAGCTTGCAAAGAACGATTCCAATTCATTTTATTTACATTTGCTTTCCTTTACGAAAACCATTAATTCCAGTTCTGTCTAGTGTTAATTTTTATAATCATAGCAACCTAACCCTTTTCCATGAAGGAAATCTTCATGTATACACACAAGTATACTCTCTAAACGATACTAGAACAATCGAACCAGAGAACAGTGTTTTTGATCCTCCAGGCATCAATACTATGTCGTTTAAAAAGAAATTCTTTTGTTTTCAATAGTGCGTAAGTAATTAAAGAAATAATCTCTTTTCTCAGGGGCAAATTCCACAGCAGAATGAGAATTTTCGTTAGTATCATAACTTTTATGTTTGTATGATCCTTTTGTAACGTCCTGTGCAGTTCTTATCTGAGATGCATGATTCGCATAAACCAGTTTCGAATAGATAGAAGACAATGGCATGTTACTAGTTGTTTTTATTGGTTGCCACGATGGGGATTTTGGACCGTGATAAACTGGTTGGGAAATACCATTTTGGGCAGCACCCGGTGGGACTGCAGGTATACCACAGCTATTGCACACCGTTCTCTGCCTGAAGTTATGGAAAGCACAGTGTGGACAGTTCCAGTTTTTGCGCGGTTTCCACCGTCCGTTTGGTTGTTTATTTCCATGAAATTGCTTTTGGGTATCAATACTGCAGTGTTGAGGAGCTTTCTGTATATAACAACCTGGACATGTCGATCCGCGTTGGTAACCTGTATATCCACACAGTGTACACTGCCCCAACCGACCATGGGATTCTAATGTGATTCTGTTGGAGTTTATAGAGGATGTGCATCGGAGACATGTTGTTCTTTCTTTGTAATCCAAGAAACCACAAGATAGACAAGAATATAGATCGTGAGAAACGGGTGCAGGTCCTGGAAGTGTGGTCCACGAGCTTTGCTTCTCATCACCTACCGCTTTGGTTTGGTATTTCTTTGGCTCTGATTCCGGTATGCAATGGACATATGAAGTTGAGAATATGTTTTCGCTTTTGTGTGGATAACCCTTATATTCGGACACTTTGTGAGGTAATGTAGGGGCCGATGTCGAACATGGTATTGTTTGTGATGTGGATTTCTGCTTCTGCTTTTCCGTGCAATTTTGTGCTTCTCTAGAGATTCCAAAAGTGCATCGTCTTGTCTCATATTTTCCCTTAGGGATCTTTGATGGGATGTTTGGTTTTTGTGTCAAAGTTTTATTAGCTGCACTTGGTGAATAAAGTCCCTGTTTCTCTATGCTCAATAGCTTCGTTTGATGTCTCTCCAAGGCTTGGTGCGCGGATACTGGCTCAAGCATGTATTCACAGTTTAGGATATGGTGTCCCCAAGCTTTAGAATTGTTTGAAGGTGGAAGCGAAGTTTTTTCATCGTTCTCTCGAGGCGGTGAATCAATATTAGAATTGCCACGCTCCTGATTATCTCGATGGTCTGAGGTGGTGTGTCCAGTCATAATTTCAGCGCCTCCACTCGACGGGCCGTGACCGCTATTTTGATCATCATCTGTACTAGATCGATCATCGTCTTTGCTCCTTGGTTCGTCATTTTCGTCACTTTCGTTTTCGCTCACATCCTTTTGCGCCTTTTCCCTTTCTTCCCTCCCGTCCTCTTCTACCCCGTCCTCTTCAAGATGACTAGCGATCTCTGAGCTACACAATGTATTACTTGATGAGAAGCGTGTCTTCGCCCTTTGGGGAGTTGAATTTGAGTCCACAGTTATTTGGGGTTTGTCGACGGCAGTGGAAATTTCTGGTTCGGATGTTGATATAGGCCTTTCAAGTGTATTAATCACATCTTCAAGTATATTAATCATATCTGAATAGCCCTTGCGATCTTTAAAACCAAGATCCCGTTTAAACAACATCCTAGGACCGGATAAATTATCTCTAGAATTCCTAGATAATTTTAGGTCTCTGGACTTATTTATATTATCCTCTGGCTTCTGGTCGGTTTTCCGAGATTCTAAGAGCCCATGAAAAGTCCTTATGGAACGATGCCTTGGAAGTTCTTCCTTCCCATCCCTTTAATTATCTAGCAGTTCTATACATGTAAAAGCGAAGCGGGGAGTAGGAGGACTTACTGTTATTGAAGGCGTGTCATTTGATGGAATTGGGACGGAGATAGGTTTGTTAACGCTTAAATCGTATGGTTCAGCCTGGCTCCCCCCAATACTCAGAGGCTGTAGCGGTATATTCCCTACATGCTGGGTTTTAGCAATTCTTGGATGGGGTTCCAATCTAAATCTCTCCCCGTATTCCTTTCCAGGTGGCTTTCGGAAAATGAGCGGACCGTCTTCATCGTGATCTGTTCGAGTAGTCGTAGCGTCTGGATGTTGATGCTCCTGACTTGGTAGGGATTTTTCCTCATATTCATCAGAACCCACCTTAGTAGTTGTGTTGATTGGCTCCTTTCTCAATGAAAAGGATCTACATGCCTTAGTCTCAGCAATAAGCCCATCCAAAACATCTAGTCGTGAAAAGGCCGTATCATATAAATCATCTTCGTTATTAGGGTCAAAAACATCATCATCATCAGAATCATCAGAGTCACTATCACTGTCGCTTTCGCTATCAGTTCCATTGAAAGGATCCTTTAGAAGGACTCCAGGATCACTTGTAAGTCCCATGCTTTCTTCATAACTTGGAGGTGGCTCTTGCGGGATTGATGACACAGGCGGTAATTTCAGCAATGGAGGTTGTAATATTTCTCGCCTTCTCACAAGACCATGCTCGAGGCTTTCCATTTTCACAGGGCCAGGTTTTCTTAGCGATGTTGGATCATACACGTCTCTTTTTGGTGAGGAGGGAAGTCGATTACTGTCTTCCGGACCGGAAGGGATAGAGATAGTGAGCTAAAATTGTGGTCAATTCTATTTCTCGGAAAGTTACTCAAACTATGGGATGAGTCGCTGGTGGAAACCTTTAAGGCGGTACCCCTAGGAATAGCTTTCCGCGTCATGGGCACTGAAAACAACATGTCCTCATTCTCATCCTCATTCTCATCCTCATTCTCATCCTCATCCTCATCCTCATCCTCATCCTCATCCTCATCCTCATCCTCATCCTCATCCTCATCCTCATCCTCATCCTCATCCTCATCCTCATCCTCATCCTCATCCTCATCCTCATCCTCAGGCTCAGGCTCAGGCTCAGCCTCTGCAGCCTCAGCCTCAGCTTCAGCTGATTCATGGTCTCTCCTGGAAGCTTTAACGTCTAAAGACGCAACGGGGATATTCTCGGCCAGCTTATAGATAACAAGATAGAGACATATTAGTCTAGAATAATACGTAACCTTTTTTATTAATCAAAAGCTTTAGGAAACCGGAACTAACCACCGACTCGAGGCTTAATGAACCTGAGCATACTCTCGTAGTACTCTGGGAGGATTCATTTCTATCCGTTTTGAAGACATAGTGGAGCGAATTCCCGGGGTTTTCGGGGGATTCATCCTCAATATTTTCGATTAATTGCACACTTAGCTATCAGAAATATAATTGGTCAGATATACTACCATTCAGGCGTCCGGAAATTAAAAATTAATATAAAAGAAACTTACTTCGTCATCGTCTGAATCGATTTCCTCTTCATCTTCATTTAGTATGGCAGTAAACGATGTCGACCTGGGGGTCCCTTTTTGTAGTCGAGGTCCTTTATCCATGGTATTTACGCCAGAGGCCGTTGTCCCCTAATTGACACGATTAGGCAAGACAGTCTCGTTGGGGGTGCCAGTTCGGGAGTAAGCTTATTTTTAGCTGCTGCTTACCTCCACCGGTTCCTCTTCTATAGTTTCAAGCTGGAATGGCTCAAACGGCGATTCAATACTGACTGCCGGTATTCCTTGTATGTAAGGCACATGAGGCGGTGGATCCACTGCTGATGAGAGGTTTTGGGAAGTGCCATCATTTTCATATGTTGAAGAACCTGACTCTGTCTCTTCTGAATCAAAGGAATCCAAAGACTCCTCCAATTCCGTGTGTCTGTATGAGGTTCCATAGGAGAAAGATGACTCTGAAAGTGTCTGCGGAGTATTGGGCGGATTGATGGGTCTCTCTTCCTCTAGATCCTCCATAGGCAACGATCCTGGATATTCTAGTAAGAGCTGGCCAGGAAGAGCCCCCGGGAAACTATCTGTTGAACTAACATCCATTCGAGACAGGCCATGGAAATAGGTTGGTTCGCTTTCATATTGAACATCTTTGCTTTCAGCATCTTCAACATACGGGTGTGGTGGGTACCGTATCACTGGTGGTGAGTGATCGGGGTCTTTTTCTCTACCACTACCAATCAGGGGAGGATTTGATTCCATCTCAAAGCGAGTAATGGTTTGGTCAAGGAAGTTAAGAGGTGGAGGTTAATGAAAACGATTTCCGTACACACGACGGAATAGATGTAGTTATTTAGCGGTAGTCTGAGATAGCCAAAGAAGATGACGAATTTCGGGGGGGAAAATTAGAGCTCTATGTGCCTGTTTTAATTAAACATACGTGTGGGCGAGTGATATATCATGACACATTGCTCTCACAGGGCTTCATGTGACCACTACTCCGAATACAAAAGGAAGTTGACACATAGTTGGTATTATGAGATAGGGACACTGTGAGTGTTATTTGAATACAGCGCACTTGTAACAGAGCGAAAGTGGATTAAATTTACGATCTTACATGTAGTTCTCCGTAATCCACAATACTCCATAATCTGAAGAAACCAGAAACACCAGGTTGATATAATATTACATAAAAGTCTATGGGTACCAATCCAAGTAAGAAATAAAATGACAAATGAAACATAAACTGTCATTATTGAAGAGAAAGGGATTTAGTGCAAACACAAAACGAACCGCACAGAAATATAGATTTAAGGGGAAGAAGTTTGTAATGCCTCCTGTTCCTCCTCCTCTCCACCTCTCAAGCCGTCAACTCCATGACCCGAGCTTCAGAGGTTCCGAATAAGCTATTTAGCAAGATTCAATTTTACCTCGAGTCGCTTTTTATACCGTAATAATTTTTGACTGACTAGAAGCGAGTATCTTAGGCTCCTTCTAAAATACTCAATCGGACTCATCGTGAATAATAAGTCCATTCCCTTCTTTGTACTCCACGGGGGGCGAAGCTCTCTCTTGCACCTTCATCTCGCTAGCATTTATTCCGTTCGTGTTTTCTTTTATGGCAGTACCATTCGAATTTTCGTTTGGCTTTCCATTGGCGGTGCCGCCATTTGTATCCTTAGGTTCATCTTTCATCTCGACATCAGCCTTGCCGCCCTTTCCTTTCTGCTTCTTCTTCATCCTCTTCTTCCGGTTTTTCTCTGTCCGCTCGTCATCCTTCTTCTTAAGTTCTTCGGTTTTTTCTAAGAACTCCTTTTCATCGTTCTCCCTCTTAACCTCCTCCTCCATCAACCGGATCCTCTCGTACTCTCTCCTCCGCGCGGCTTTATAAACATGAAACTCGCCAGAACCTGCGCCGGCAGATGAGCCTTGAACGTTTGCAACGATTTCCGGAGGTGGCGGGAGAGTTTTGGCTTTGGGACCGCGTGGAAGGATAATTTCGCGATCAGGTTTAGCGAATAGGGAGGTTACTGCCGAAGCTTGAAAGGAGACTGGAGAGAGAGCGCGGCGCTTCGTAGGTCGTTTTGAACGACGATCGTGGGACGTGGGAATCGACTCGGGGATGGGTTCTGACATTGTGATGATGTATGGAAGTGGTGTTTTTTTCCGTCTCGAAATTTCGCTCGAATGAAGGTAGTAGGAAACGAAACGAAACAAGGCGTGACAGCGTGTTAAGATGCTTGGCATACATGTAGGTTAGCATAAGAGGATTTATTACCCGGCCGATAGGTGCTACTTTATCCCCAGGCCTGGAATTATATGAATTTGATATTCCCCCTTCATCCAACGTTTTGCTTGACCTCCGTTGGCGAGAGAAAACTGGGAAATTTTGAAACGGAGTTCCAAAGTCGTGTGCCGTTTGGGAGTGCTACAATGTGTTGATGATGGCAACGATGGTTGGGTTAGTACTGGTTGCACTGTACTGATAGTCAGTGAAAAAGTAGGCAGGAGTTGCTTATTTGAAAACTCCGTTTTGATGGAGTTAACGTTGTTTTCTGGACCCGCAAATTGCATCGCTATTCGACCTGGGCCCAGACAACTAACACGGGCCCGCTTATCCCACATGCATTAAGTGCATACGTTTACATAAGTACATGTAAAGTTAAGCCTTTGCGAAAAGACTCCACTTTTGATACATATAGTTGGAGGAGTACTTACGTACATGTATACTAGCAGTTGGCCACCTCGCCAGGGCGAAGTGTGAGCTTGAATGTGATCAAATTTTGGGAAGGGCGGTTGGATGTGGTGAGTCCGGTTTTTACAGTACCGATGCCAGTGCCAGTGAGCTGAAAGTATGTGTAATTTAATGGAGTTTGCTTTCATATAAACTTCCAGAATTATATTGCATAGCTATTGCTACCTAGTGTAGTGGTTTAAATGTCTTACATATGTCGAAGTGCTTGATCTGGACGATCGACAGCTGTTTGACCTGGAAGTAACTCTGCAACGATTTCCGACCATTTAGGATTCGCTGTAAATGTGATGAAAAGTGAAGGTCTTCCGAAGTGTCTTACGATAGCCATTGAATCCTGGTATAATTATTGCATATAACGATCACCACCGCTATAGCTGCTAGGAAGTATTATTCTCCGTCCGGTTTGTTCTGGATTGAAGTCTTCTTGAAGCATAGCATCGGCCAGGCCATTATACAAATCGGATCGTAGTCTTGATTGATTCAAACGTATCCAATTTAGTTTGTTCTGATCACACACAGCCCATGCGTCAACCAAATATTGCTGAAAAAGGTTTTGAGATTGAAATAGTGTTAAAGGCTCGGTTGAATGTGAATGAATATGATAGCTTTGTAATAAGTTAGTAATGATTTCTATGATAATATATTAAACATACCGATAAAATTCACGTTGACCTAAACGCAATACTTTCCGATTATTCAATCGATCTCGAAGTTGTAAACTCCAATGCCAACCGGTATCCCCATTTGGAAAAAGCAATACGTAATGCAATGGCATATACGCAGCATGGTTAGGATTGATGATACTGAACATTTGATTTGGCAATGGATTTCTATATGCCAATACGATATCACGGAATCCAGCTTCTTCATATTCATCAAAAATTATTACCGCCACCTCGTTACTTGTAGGAAAGTTGTTTCGTCGTTTGTCTGCTCCTGTTTCAACTATCAATTGAAGACGTGGATTAAGTATAATGCGTGCATTCCCATCTTGTGTTGAAGCATTATCCAATCTTTCTTTTGCTGTTTTATAAAATTCAATAAACGGATTTATTGAATTTAACTCCATGGTGAGACGTTGAAGTACCATAATATCTAAAGTTGGATGTGTTGCATGTTGTACTTGTGCTGAATATTCTGGATCGTAGAAATATAGTTGGGCGAAGGAAGGAGTTGCTCCGATTGCTGGTATCAATGGTCCCTGAAGATGATATAATTCAACATGAATTTGGAAGCAACTTATACAACCGCCATTTGCGCCAACTCTTGTATCCGTATTGTATTTGACTGAGGTAAACGTAAGTGCTGAATTATATTCCCGTATATGTTTCCGGAAGTTTCTTGGGACAGTTTCTAAAGATTCCAACAGGTACTTCAGATAATCAGAAGGGGGTTTAAGAATTTCAAGTACAACGTCTCCCTTCTTGCAACAATTCTCAAAGATTGGTGTTTGAATTGAGCTCCCGGTGCAGCTTGAACGTTCATTTAGCCAATGCAAAGCTTTGCATGATTGGCAAACAATTGTCATACGCCCAAGTATTAATAGTGACCATTTTGTTCGGGAAGATAGAAATGCCATTGGAGAGGGGGCTACAACTGGTAAAACCAGACGGAGCTGGATTACTGTTAGAAACCATCAGAAAAAATATTCAATAACCAAAATCGTAATACCTCTATATTATTTTCTTCCTCCATTAATCTTGTGGCTCTACGTGCTGTTCTTCGTTCTCTCTCTAGTTGCTATACAATTTGTTAGAGCAAAATATAACTGTCACCCGGAAAGATTCAACACTACATACCAAACATGTACGACATGATTTACGTGGTTCTCCTTGATTATCCTGATCGTAATCTTCAAGAGGTTTCTTCCGTTTGTATTTACGGCATGTTATGGAATTCATTGTTGTTTTTTGTAACGGCAGCTATACGTTTCGGTTATGTGAAGTGTCAGAGTATGTAAAGGAAGGATTGTCCAGTGTGTGTGGGATTTGTTAAAGCGAGTTTCTATTATGTTCTTTCTGTTTCTGTTACGCGAGAAGATGAGTCATTGTGGGTTGAGGTCTGGATATATAAAGGGGTGTTGTCTCGGCTTTCTTCTGCTTTCTTTTCTTTCCTTTCCTCTTTACGCAACCTCTGTATTTATTCTACGAATACTATTCTTTGTTCGCACTAAGTCATTGGGCTCCAACCGGTTTATCATACCAGGTAGAGTCACCCCATAGTCCATAGTCAAAGTATATCTTTACGTCTACGTCCACGTCTACGTCACTACCTAGGTTGTATTCCTTGGCACCACAGTCTATCGCCTACAGTCCCTGTGATACGTAGGTTGCGTCCTCTATCGCCAACCAATACAACACCATAGTCTACAATGTCGGAACATGTTCATGTCGATTATCAACAACTCAACGATAACCTCCAAAGATTTTTTGAAGCGCATCCACAGGTCGATCATGTTGTCGGAGCTGAAGCTTATGCGCTTCTTCAACAGTGTCAAAATGGTATTATTCAATATGCAACGGATTTACAGGAGATAGAAGCGGAGGCTGAGAGGGCAAGAAGGATATTTGAACGAGATCTTACTGCTGCCCGAGCTCAACGAACTGCTGTTGAGGTTGTGGCCCCTGACGAGGAACCTATTGGAAACAATGCTCCACCTGTACCCCCAGCACCACCAGTTACAGGTACCACCTATCGGTCGGAGAAACTCCCAGACCCCGACGTGTTCAGAGGGGATCGTGATCGAGAAAGGTTACACTTATTTAAGCAACAAATGAAACTCAAGTTACTAGGAAATACCGATCGTTATCCTACACTACAGTCTAAATTGTCGTATGCGTTCAGCAGATTGGAAGGCGCAGCTGCCAATCAATTCTTACAGTACATGGGAGAAGAAGGTATTGCCTTACCTTCTATGACACGGTTTTATGAGATTCTGGATACAGCTTTTGGAGACCCCGATCGAATGCGTACAGCTAGAAGAAATCTTCGGAACATTAGACAACGCACTCGAACCTTTGCCGATTATTTCGCTGAGTTTCAACGGTATGCTGCTGAGTCGGGTATGGATGAAGTCTCTCGGATTGAGGCTTTGATGGAAGGAATTAATGGGGAACTGGACGAATCGATGATACACCATGAGACTCCTGCAACGGTAGATGGTTGTGCAACACTCTTGCAACGGTTAGATAACCGACGACGGGCGGCGGAAGCTAAGCGAGGTAGTAAAAAACCTTGGACTACTACTGCGACCCCGGCTCCGCGTCCCCCACCAACAAATCCTGTTCCTGTTCCCCGTCCTGCTGCCCCTGCTGACAACCCACCTGCCACTGAGAATCACCCCTCGTTCCGTCCTGGCGGTGATGTACCCATGGATCTATCTGGAGGACGTCGTCGCCCTACCCCTGCCGAAAGAAACGCCCGCTTAGTTGAGGGCCGATGTTTCTATTGCGGAGGTGTTGGACATATGGTTAGGGATTGCCCTCAAGCGAGGGCAACGGGAAACCAACCAAGGAGGCCTGTTATGAGAGGAGCGGTGTTGACGGTGGAAGAAAATGGCGGAAGCGATAACGAATCGGCAAAAGATTTGTCCCTGCACTAAGTGGCTTAGCCCAGGGACCATTTAAGGATTTTTCTAGGATGTGTATTTCTGGTTTTTCGGTATCAGAGGAGGAAATGGATGGAAATCAACTTGTAGTAACTTGTTCGATTTCACAGAATAAAAATTCTTTCATACCTACCTACGCCCTTATTGATACCGGAGCATCAGGATATGCTTTTATTGATGAATCTTTTGCACGCCACAACAATCTTACAATGACCCCCCTCAAAATACCCCGCCATGTAGACGTTATAGATGGAAGGCCTATTAAGTCAGGAAAAATTACCCACATTGTCGATGTTTCGCTAGACATTCATGGTCATCGTGAAGTTGCGCCATGTTTTGTAACGAAGTTAGGACATTATCCGATTGTGATGGGAATACCTTGGATGCGACGACATGATGTTACGATTCGACCAAAAGAAAATCTACTTGTTTTTGACTCTCGAAGCTGTTGTCAATACTGTTCACTCAATGGAACTGCAGTCATTGTTCATGGCATCTCGATTCCCTTACCGGAACACCATACGGTCATCGTTTCAGCAACTGAAAAATCTACGGTCAACATTGAACAATTAGTACCGAAAGAGTTTCACCATCGTCTCCATATGTTCAAAGAATACGATGCTTCAATTCTCCCACCACATCGACCATCCCATGACATCGAGATAGTACTGGAAGAAGGTAAACGACCACCATATAGACCTATATATGGATTGTCTCAAATTGAGTTGAAAGCACTACGGGAATATCTTGATGAAAATTTACCTAAAGGATTCATTCGGGCCAGTGAATCACCAGCGGGAGCACCTATATTGTTCGTAAAGAAAAACGATGGAACTCTTCGACTTTGTGATGACTATCGAGGCCTAAATGCGATTACAATCAAAAATCGATATCCATTACCATTGTTAAAGGAAACCCTAGCTAAGTTGTCAAGAGCAAAATACTATACGAAATTGGATTTACGTTGGGGATATAATCAAATCAGGATAGCGGAGGGAGATGAATGGAAAACGGCATTTCGAACTCGATATGGACATTTCGAATATACAGTAATGCCATTTGGATTAGCTAATGCCCCTGCTACATTTCAACATTGGATCAATGATATTTTACGTCCCTATCTCGACCAATTTGTAACGGCATACTTAGACGATATCCTTATCTATTCCGAAACTCTACTAGAACATAAAGAACACATTCAAAAGGTTCTAAAGGTACTTGATGAAAATCATGTTCACCTTAAACCTGAAAAATGTGAATTTATGGTTCAGGAAACGAAATATCTCGGTTTAATTCTTACTCCGAATGAAAATAGAATGGACCCAAAGAAAGTTATTGATGTTTTGGAATGGACCACACCGACAAATCTTCGTGATGTTCAAGTATTTCTAGGATTTGCAAATTTCTATCGGCGATTTATTTTAGGATATTCGAAAATTGTTGCTCCACTTACAGCCTTGACAAAGAAGAATGTTAAATTTGATTGGACGGATGAAAGGGAGGAAGCATTTCAAACTTTGAAAAAGATGTTTACAACGGCGCCAATCCTAGCTCATTTTAATCCGGATCGAAAAATTGTGATAGAAACCGATGCATCCGACTATGTTTCAGCAGGAATCCTATCTCAACGTGACAACGAAGGAATTCTACATCCAGTTGCTTTCTTTTCCAAGAAACATTCTCCTTCAGAATGCAACTACGAAATCTATGATAAAGAACTTTTAGCAATTATACGATGTTTCGAAGAATGGCGACATCACCTGGAGGGAGCTCAATTCCCAATTGAAGTTCTTAGCGACCATCGGAATCTTGAATATTTTATGACAACAAAATTGTTAAATCGTCGACAAGCCCGTTGGTCTGAATTTCTTTCACGCTTCGATTTCGTTATACAATTTCGACCAGGAAAACAAGGAACAAAACCAGATGCATTGACTAGGAGTTCAGGTGACCTACCTAAAGAGGGGGATGAACGGTTGACGCATCAGAGTCAAGTGGTTCTGAAGCGAAAAAATTTGGATACTAAGCTAAGTTTGTTCGCGGGTTCTTTGTCAAATGAATCCGCTGAAGGAGCGTCCACTGTAGAGGAGTTATTTTCAAAAGCTTACCAAGTGGATAGTTTCCCAAACAAGGTCCTCAATATGCTTCGGAATGGCATTCGCCACTCAAACAAAATCTCGCTTGCCGAATGTACGGAAGATAACAACGGTCGGCTACTTTATCGAGGCATGCTATATGTACCAGACGACGATGACCTTCGACTAAGGCTTTTAAAAGAACACCATGACAAACCATCTGCAGGACATCCGGGTAGAACGAAGACTCTGGAGCTCCTAAGTCGAGAATATTACTGGCCACAGATGCGGAAGTTCGTCGATCAGTATATTAGGAATTGCAATGTGTGCACCCGTAGCAAGGCATCACACAATGCACCTTATGGAGTACTTCGCCCCATGCCAATTGCCGATGGGCCCTGGACAGACGTCTCGATGGATTTTGTGACTGATCTTCCTGAGAGTGATGGGTATAATGCGATTTTGGTCGTGGTAGATAGACTAACCAAAATGCGGCATCTGATACCAACGACAAAGGAGGCGGATTCACGGGAAGTAGCAAAGCTATATATTGATAACGTCTGGAAACTACATGGATTACCCGACACTATGGTATCCGATCGAGGAACATAGTTCGTTGCGGAATTTTGGAGGTCCCTTTGTGATCGACTGGAAATCTCGCCAAAGTTCTCTACTGCATTCCACCCCCAAACAGATGGACAGACAGAAAGAATCAATGCCATAATGGAACAATACCTCCGAAGCTATGTTTCCTATCAACAAGACGACTGGGTCCGATGGCTACCGATGGCTGAATTTGCAACCAACAACCACGTTTCCGAAACAACAAAAGTTTCCCCCTTTTATGCTAATTCGGGAAGAAATCCTAGGATAACATTTGGGCCTTTGGAACATGGTAGAACGACGGCGGAAGATCAAGCTAATAGCATTGCGCGAGAAATGATGGATATCATCGACTTCTTACGAAATGATATGTTCCGAGCACAAAGGATTCAAGAAGAGTCGGCCAATATGAATCGGATTCCGGCCCCTCACTACCGTGTGGGAGATAAAGTTTTCCTGTCGACACGCCATGTCCTTACGAAACGACCTTCGAAGAAATTCGATTGGAAACGTATTGGACCGTATGTTGTAAAACGAATTGTCAATCCCTATGCCTATGAATTAGAACTCCCTCGTTCGATGAAAATACATCCGGTATTCCACGTTTCGTTATTGTCGCCCGCAGCCAATGATCCCTTGCCCGGTCAGGAAGAACTACCTCCACCCCCAGTTGAAATTGAAGGACAGGAGGAGTGGGAGGTTGAAGATATTTTGGACTCGAGGAAGCGCCGGGGGAGATTCGAATATCTAGTGAAGTATGTCGGGTATGATGAAGCTTCTTGGCAACCATTGTCGGACGTCGAACATTCGCCCGATATTGTTAAACGATTCCACAAACGTTACCCACGGAAGCCTAAGCCTACCAGGAGGTAGGCCTTAGAGGGGGGAGTGGTCTGTAACGGCAGCTATACGTTTCGGTTATGTGAAGTGTCAGAGTATGTAAAGGAAGGATTGTCCAGTGTGTGTGGGATTTGTTAAAGCGAGTTTCTATTATGTTCTTTCTGTTTCTGTTACGCGAGAAGATGAGTCATTGTGGGTTGAGGTCTGGATATATAAAGGGGTGTTGTCTCGGCTTTCTTCTGCTTTCTTTTCTTTCCTTTCCTCTTTACGCAACCTCTGTATTCTACTTGCTCGCTAAGGCTCGCAAAGAACTCCCTGATAACAAACCTCGCTTTAAAAACATTTTAGTTTATTCCCATCGGTTTACCCTGGTATACCATACCAGGTCGAGCAATCTCGTCCCCGATCGTACGGTCGCGTTTTGTTGCTCCAAGCGAAAGAAACACCACGAAAACTGGCTTCTAGCGAAGAATTCTCCAGCCTTGACCTCCCAAAGGGAAGGAAAAGAAACCTATCCGAAACATCACTTTACGCCGCCAGAAGAACTGGACATTCAATTATGTCGCAACAAGCTTCGCTCCAGTCCTTTTTTACCCAGTCTTCCCAGCAAGGGACAGCCCCTCCGCAGAACAGGAACACTCCGGTTCCTGACCCAACCCCATCCGGAGCTCAGGAACAAGAATTCTCCTCGACCTTTGCATCACAATCCGACTACAACGACCCATACCAGCCGAGAATTGACTACCTCTACCCGAGCATTGTCCCCCAGGACACCCACACCCAGACAGATCTGAACTATATTACCTGGGCCATCAGACATGCCACCAGCCGAATCTGCCCACCTACCGACAGGATGGAAATCCTCGAAGAGCAAACGACCACACTCCGGAGAACAGTGGATACACTGAAGCACCAAATCGAAGCGCAAACAAACATGATCACCAGCATGCACTCGCCGATCCACCTTCTCCTCAACAAACAACCACAACCGCAGCAACCGCAGCAACTACAACAACAGCAACAACAGCAACAACAGCGAAAACCACAACAACCGCAAGGACAGAGAATGCCCCCTCCAGCGGTCCCACAAACAGTTCCCCAAGCAGCGCCTCAGGCAGCTCCTCAGGCCCCCCTACCCGCACCCCTCCAACAAGCCCCACCCCGTGGATGGAAAGCAGGCACCTGGGCCGCCGTGGCCTCGGCCCCCGGCCCTGCCCAAGGAAATTTCCAGGTTGTTGAGAGAAGAAAGAAGTCTGCAAAGCCAAAAGCGGATCCTCTCTTCAAGCCAGAATATACCAAAATCAACAGAGAAATCAGTGTCGAAACCACTGCCCCATCCGACGTCAATCCCTCCGAGATCAGGACCCTAGTCAATTCAAGAATTCAGGACGAATCCTGCCACTTCATTTCAGCAAGGAGAACACCCAAGGACAACTTTATCCTGGAAACAAAGTTTGTCACCCCAGCATCGAAGGCAATGGAATACGCCAAAGAAATTGAGGAGGCTCTCCTCACCCTACAAGTACCAGTCGCTATCATCCGGGCAAACTCCAAATGGTCAAAGTTCCTTATTCACGGAATCCCCACGACGGTCGGAGAAGGCATCGAGGCAGGACAACTGGTAGCATCCGAAATTAGAAGCAACTATGGAGAGAACTTCCAACTTGCCCAGGTTCCCCGCTGGATCTCTAGAGCAGAGACTCGAATGGAGAAAACCCACTCATCAATGGTCATCGCGCTCCCAGGACAAGTTACAATGGAATCACTAGGAGTTAAGTTCCTATCCCTCTTTAACCGAAGCTGCCACATAGAGGCCTTCCTCCCAACCTTCCCAGACACCCAATGTGCGAAGTGCCTCGAATATGGTCACCGCCAGGAGAAATGCAAAAACAACGGGAGATGCGGTCATTGTGCCGGAGACCATCTCACCAGCTTCCACCCATGCAATCAATGCCAGGGAGGATATAAATGCACCCACACCCCAATCAGATGCCTGAACTGCAAAGGAATCCATAAGGCCTCCGACCCAGCATGCCCCGAAAGAGTCAAACGCCGATTCCTTAACAAGGGAAAAGAAAACGCCCCACCCGTTCAAGACCCACCGGCCGCACCCGTCCAAGAGTCGATAGTTCAAGTACCAGCCACCGCCCCAGTCGGAGCCCCACCCGTTCCCGAAGACGACCAACACATGACAAATAATGCTTAGGCCTCGAACTACCGCGCTCGCACATTAACTCAATTGTGCACGGAGCGAACTTATTACCAAGGCGGCGGTAGAAGAAGCGGAAACAGACTCTAGCATTTATTTCCTACTATTACAAGAACCATGGACCTCAGCAGAGGGATATCCACCAGAATCAAATCTCTTTTATATTTTTACGGCCAGCAACACCAATACAAAATGTGCAACATACGTCCGCAAACATGCCAACCTCAAACCAAAACACCACTACACACACGATAATTTCATAGTATCGATTACGGTAGAAATCCAGAATAAGAAAACCCAAATCCTAAATATATACTCCCCAGGCCGAAGTGGCCCCTTCGCTCAAATAGCAAGTACAATCCAAACCCTTGATAATTGTCTAGTAATGGGAGACTTCAACTGCCACCATCAATTGTGGTACGGAGTAAATTCGCATGAATACAGAAACAACATTCGAGCAGACCGCGTCAACGGTGCACGGCTAAAACGATAGATAACCCGACAGAAACTGACCCTCCTGAACGAACCAGGCGTCTTTACGCATTTCCCCAGAGACAGAGGGAAAAGGCCCACAACCATCGACCTTGCATTTGTTAAAGGCCCAACACTCGACCACAACCTACGATGGAGCACCGAACCCTATGGAGCGGGCTCAGACCACGGGAGAACCTCCGTCCACTTACACTTGGAGAAACCACCTTTTGTACCAAGACGAATGTGGCGACAAACAGACTGGAAGCTACTGGAGAACCACATGTCAAACATTTCCATCCCTGCAGAGGCATGGGAAACCAAGGAACTTACGGAACAAACTGTCGATTTCTTCCTAGAACTGGTCAGGTCAACAGTCAGCATAGTAACACCGCTCTCGAAGGAGGGGGTAAGAGCCAACTCTTGGTGGTCAGATGAAATGAAACAAATGAAGGCAAGGGTAAACGCAGCAGAAAGGAAGGCGAGGAACACAAGGAAACCCAACCACGTGGAGGAACACCGGAAGGCTTGCAGAGAATGGACAGTCATGATCCGGAAAGCAAAAGCGGACCAGCGGGAAAAGACGATGAACGAGGCGAAAGGTAGTGAAGTCTGGAGAATCCTAAACGTAGGAAGAAGAAGAGACACAATCATACCAACCATACAAGGTGAAGAAACGTTTGCGGGGAAGTGTCAAGCTCTAAGAGCCCAACTTTTCCCCTCGAAACGGACGTCCCCCGACCATCCCCCCCTAAACATTAGACCCCCCTCTTTTGACCTTAGCAACACCTTCTAACGGGGACTATGGGCGTAGGGACTATGAAGCCAAGGAATACAACCGAGGCGAAGACGTGGACGTAGGAAGTTCGTGGACTATGGACTATGGGGCCGAAGGGTACACCTAAGGCAAGAACGGAGACTGTGGACTATGGACTATGGATGGTTGTACCTGGTCTAGTATACCGGGTAAACCCTATGACGTAGCGCGAACCAAATAGTATTCGTGACTGTAAAGTACAGAGGTTGCATAAAGAGAAAAGAGAAAGAAAGAGAAACAAGAAATCACGAGACAACGCCCCCCTTATATATCCATACCCTATCCCAATGCTGACTCATACCCTCGCGTAACAGAAACAAATAGAACATAATAGAAACCCACTTCACTAAACCCAACCACACTGCATAATCCTTCTCCCTTGTACCCAGACAACTCACATAGCCAATCCGTCTAGCTGCCGTTACAGACCACTCCCCCCTCTACGGCCTACCTCCTGGTAGGCTTAGGCTTCCGTGGATATCGTTCGTGAAATCGTTTGACAATATCAGGCGAGTGTTCGACATCCGACAATGGCTGCCACGAAGCTTCGTCATAACCGGCATACTTAACCAAGTATTCAAATCTTCCTCGACGATCCCTGGAATCCAAAATATTCTCGACTTCCCACTCCTCCTGTCCTTCAACTTCGACCGGTGGTGGTGGTAACTGTTGTTGTCCTGGTAGGGGATCAATGGCTTCCGGCGACAGTAACGAAACATGAAATACAGGGTGGACCTTCATAGAACGAGGAAGTTCTAATTCATAGGCATAGGGATTGACAATTCGTTTAATAACATATGGCCCAATACGCTTCCAATCGAGTTTCTTCGAGGGTCGTTTGGTAAGGACATGGCGGGTGGATAGGAAAACCTTATCTCCCACACGATAGTGAGGAGCGGGAGCCCGACTGGTATTGGCCGACTCTTCTTGAATCCTTTGCGCTCGGAACAACTCATCTCGTAGAAAATCTAATACCTCCTTCATCTCCCGTGCGATACCATTAGCCTGATCCTCTGCTGTCGTCCTACCATGTTCCAAAGGACCGAACGTCATTCTTGGATTTCGTCCTGAATTGGCAAAGAAAGGAGATATCTTTGTTGTTTCTGAAGTGTGATTGTTGGTCGCAAATTCAGCCATTGGTAACCATCGAGTCCAGTCATCTTGTTGATAGGAAACATAACTCCGAAGGTACTGTTCCATCACGGCATTAATCCTTTCCGTCTGCCCATCCGTCTGAGGGTGGAACGCAGTAGAAAACTTTGGTGATATTTCCAGACGGTCGCAAAGAGACCTCCAGAATTCCGCAACGAATTGTGTCCCTCGATCGGATACCATAGTGTCGGGTAACCCATGTAATTTCCAAACATTGTCAATATACAGTCTCGCTACTTCCCTTGAATCCGCCTCCTTTGTTGTTGGTATTAGGTGTCGCATCTTAGTTAACCTATCCACCACGACCAAGATTGCATTGTATCCATCGCTCTCTGGGAGGTCGGTAACAAAATCCATTGACACATCTGTCCATGGTCCATCGGG